GCGGGGGGGGGGGGGGGGGGTAGAATCTACTGCTTCTACATACACACGCTTTTATATATTGAATGTAATCTTACGTCGTTTTTGGGTAATTATGCAAGTAGATTCCGTCCCCCCTGCGGCCCTGCGGGGAGGGCTCCACTACTGTTAAAAATAACCTAACCCATTCCATTTGTTGGAATGAGGTAGCTCTTCGCTTCGCGTGGATAATCGTAAACTGCTAAGTTTATGAAAGCTACCGTTATTCTTAATATTTACCCATTTTATTCATTATTTGATGATACATTATTTAATAGATATAAAGAAGCCATTAATCTAAAAAATTGCGGTATTCTCTCATTGAAATCGGATCGTTTTTTAAATATGAATTCGGCTAAATAATTTTCAGTGTTCTTCTCGTACACCAAATCGTAGTAAAGCTGAAATATCTATCGTGTGTTCGAAAATTACGAATTATTGAGAAAAATGCCTTAATTAATAACTTTTCAACGAATATAACGAGCGACGAAAACGGTCAACGACCTTGACCTTCTTAAAGGTCCAGGTCAAGATCACTCGGAAGTCATTTGAGGCTGACTGTATAAAGGGGAAGTTTTACCTCATATTCTTTTTCTATTCTTTTTTTTTAATCCAATAATTATAGCATCTAGAGCTGCCAACTCGTGATATTTTCTTATTCATACAAAAGTTCTACGACCGATACTAAATAAGAGTACGCAGACTGCGTAAGAAAATAATGCTTTTTTTTTTCGAATTAAACTTTTCATTAACTCTACAAAAATGTTATGTATAATAAAAAAATATAGGTTTTTATTTTAAGAATTGGAACAATTTTGATATTACTTTTCAAAGTTACATTCATAACACTAATTGTTCTCACCCATAAAACCAAACAAGTTTTATCTAAAACATTTTTTCAGATACTGTGTTTTTTTGGAGATAATTTAGACATTTAAAGTGGTATGTGTAATATGTATACGTACCCTTAAACTTTGACAACTTTTAACTCGAGACGTTTTTACTTAAATAAGATTTGAAAAGCGTTTTAAAAACAAATGTCATTAAAAATTAAAACAATAAAAAAGAGGATTTTCATATTTATATGATGAAATAGGTAGCATAACTTTTTTCCAAATCAAACAACTTTTATCTAAAATATTCTTTTTCGAAAAAATTTCTTTCCAAGTATTTAAAATATGCATTTAAAATAAATCATCCTATATGTTCGTTTATTCGATTTATATTTCACAAAGTAGTGACAGTTAATGACAAAGAGAAAGAATTAACCTGAGAGTTAATTCTACGGAGAAAAATCGTACCAACGACTAAAACAGTTGAAAAATAGTATTTCAACTGTGTGTCGTGAAACTATGATTAAAAAATGAATAAACAGTACAAACTTTGTATCCATTTGTTGCCTTTCTGCAATAAAAAAATTTGTAACATGCTCTGTTCAAAATGTGTCTCTGTAGGCTTTGTTATCTGAGCATGGACTGTAATTGATATAGGCGATATAGCTCGTTACCTTCTCTTGCATTTGCTGCTTCATAGCGATCGTCTTCTTCTTGTCTTTACATCGTTTGTTTTGAAACCACACCCTGATCACGCGTGGACTCAGCCCCGTCATTTCGACGAGTTGTTCCTTCATCAGGGCGTCCGGTCGAGGGTTTGCCGCGTAGCAGGTTCTCAGGGTGTGTAACTGCTTCTCGTTGAGAACTGTGCGCACCCTTGTTGGTTTTCCGTCGGAACCGCCGCCACTTTTGTGGCCACCGGAACCGCGAACGCCACCGACGCCCGCCTTATGCGATCCGCTCTCAGATCCGGAATCTGCAAGCATAAACGTCGAGAGTCCTCCTTCGTGGTGGTCGTAGGGCCGAGCTAAACGAATACGTGTTCCAAATAGAAAATATCAATTATAAGCAAATATGAGCAATAGAAATTACGGGACGTTCCCATACAGCATTTTATCCGGAAATATCCTGGAAAGACATCCTTAAGACGTTCAGAGAATCTGTGGAGTCTTCAGGACGTCCTTTGGAGGTCTGTGCTGTATGGGACTTTGAAGAGCGAGTGTTAAAGAATGAAAGATATGATTTATTCTAGAAGAGGATTGAGTTCAGCTAACTACAACGAATGTATAAAGTCTAAGAAAAAATATGTATACGGAAAGGATGGTTTTCTTGAGATATCTAAGAAAAAAATTAAATACAGATTCGAAAATAATTTTATTAGATCAAAGTAGCTATATTTAATATTCAAGCTGGTTGTTAAAATATCACAACATTTGTAAAATATTTGTATAATATGTTCGGGATATTTCAGCTGTGTAGATTTGATCGTTTCACATAATTATTTTCATCTTAATTAATTCTTAATACGTATAAATAATTAAGTAATCTAATCAGGAAAATGATATATTTATATAGTCTTTGAATATTTCAATAAAATTAATCAATTATTTTCGTGTTTATATCTATAAATTGTAGATATTTGTAGATCAGCAATCGTTCTTTCCGTGTATATCTAAAGTATTGATCGTGCTTGAATTACTGTGGCGTTTGCGTAAGGAGATGTTAATAAAGTTTGCAGAAAAAAGTGGATGTATTAAAGAATGTTTTTCGCAAAGCTAATCAGTTAATCTAATACGCAGACTTAAGAAGGAGCTGCTGTCATTTTTATGGTAGCAATAAACTGACGTAAGCGCGCGAATTGTTCCAACCGCGAGATCGCAGAAAGGAAGATAAACGCGAGTTTCATGTAGCGATTGTAAATCTTACGAGTCTTCCGGATTCTTCGTTAACGTTTCTTTCGACAAAGGGCGGGCGCGCGGTTGCTGGTCTACCGGCCGCCTCTCGGCAAGATTTATCCGCGGGAGAATCGCGTTCGCGAAACGAAGTGTATCCCGGGTACGGAAGAAGGGAACGCACGATACGATTCCGGACTATCTTCCTAACCGGTCTTACAAAACGGTCGAGTCCGGCTAATGGGAGATCCGGATACTGGTTCAGCATGGCGGACCAACGGGGAGCGAAGCAAAAGGTACCGACGCGACGATCGTCTGCGAAGCCAGCACTCGACACAACAGTCAAGAGACAATATTGTCGATGGGCAAACGCGGATCTCGTGCTCATGTGATTCCTTGATCAGCCGAGCGACCTTGAATGCGTGGAACATTTAAGCGTGATACATTCGTGACTCGCGAGCCACGGTCGCCAGTTTTATTTACAAAAGATGGTAGAGGCTTTCCGTTTTTTGTCAAAAAATAGTGCGTTGTTTAATCTGTCCGTCAGTCTTACAGTCGTCTTTCCTTGAAGATACACTTGAGATTTATTTAAAAAAAAAAAAGATGTAGTAAAGCATAAGTCAACGTAGTTTTGAGATGACTGTTATAAAGTAGCGTAGTAAGAAAACAATATACTTTAGCAAAAATTTTAATTACTTTATTGGAATCTGATTTCATCATTAAACGCCTCACTATAGGAACAACACATTAGTGTGTGATCAACCTAATTCGATTGTTCATAATTCTCATAAAAATGAACATTATATGGTAAACAATTTCTTTCCAATCGAAACACCAGGTATTAAGGAATATAACAGAATCAAGCAAATGTATGTGTATCTTGTATAATTTGTTAATAAAACATTATAAGCAATAGAAAAAGCAATGCATGGAACAGCATTTTAAAAAAGCAGATGTGTCATATCGAAATGATATTTAAAGATTAAATATCTTTGCGAGCAGCTTAATTTTTGTTGTTAAATGATGATCGAAACAATACAGAGTGCATGTTAAAGAAACCCTCATGTAAGGAGCAGAAAATGAAATCAACAGAAGTCACTTGAAATCACTCACGTCACTCGCAGAAAGCTAAATTACCTACTAACAATAATTTCGACCAATCGTTTTATCAATGTATTCTAGATAACGTCGACGCTTTAGGCATCGAGATCTAGTAGGTCCGCTAGTGGGAAGACGAGGAGGAGAGAGAGAGAAAGAGTCACCGAGAGTATACTACAAGAGAACAAACGAAATCCTATTTCTGTGTCCTAACCAAATAGCGGTCTTGGTTGGCATAAGCGAGAATGAAACCAGCGTTGACACGGCGGCACGACGGTAAGAAGAGTGAATAGACTCTCGACCTTCGAAAAACGATCGTATAGGATTGTGTATAGCTATCTCATATATGCTGCATAGATTGGAAAGTACCTTCTGCAGAAAGAGTGAAAGGTATGTGCGAAGAGGTGTTTAATTTGATGAGGGAGAAATTATTTCGCAAGTGTAACATCTATATGGTAAAAAGCTAAATTTGGTAATTATATGTATATATATATTCAGTTTTGAGTACAAATCACAAGAATTGAAATAAAAATATATACCAATCGACGCGTTTTTTAAAGAGAAATAAAAGAATTTGTCTGAAAGAAGTATTGCTCTGTTCTGCGAAGATATATTAATTGTAGAAATTTACCACTATTGAGATTATAAAACTTATTATATCGATATAATGTAGCGAATTGTGCCTGCATTGAGGTTACGTACGTGAGGAAAAGGTGTAAATTTTGAATCATAAAATATTCTCTACTGTAATTCAATATACATATAAGAAAATTGGGAGTACTAGTTAATTAAAGCAGATAATATGTACGTATAAATTTTGAATCCTAAATTATGTTCTGCTATAATTAAAATTATACAAAAAGATTGCGTTTTTAGTTAATTAAAGTAGAGAATATGTATAAATTTTTAATCACGGACTATTTCGTCGAAATCATGGGTTTTCTAACTCGAGCAGTTATTAAATTTAAGGATTAATATCTCGGTTCTCGTGAAGCAGAGTGACACTTTTGTCTTCCTGATTCGTTCGTTTCATGAAAAAATGTATCGATTAATATATTTTTTGTTAACTTTTGTGGTCGTGAATGCTAAACTAAACAAATATCCTAAATTCTTCTAAAAGATGAATTTTCAACTGACTTAATTTTTATTAATCTTTTGAAGATTGACCGACGCGGACTATTTCGTAACGTACGTGTTCAAACAATCACGCCGAAAGTTTGTTTCTTTACACGTAAGAATAATCCGTATCCTAATAAATGTTATCCTCTTAACGCCTAGAGAGCGGCGAGCGTTCATACAATCGCGGGGCATAAATTCACAGATTATGATCTATTAAGAAAAAAGGTAAAATTTAAGATCAGATTACGCTATTAAATTTATAGTATCAAATTATATTATATAATTATAATTATATTCAATCGTTCGTAAAGATCGCCACTGCTCCTACTCAATTAATTCAAGAAAATGTATTGGCACTCAAATTTAGTTTATTATTTACTAAATGCATACATTAATAGGAACAATATTTACGTTGGAACTAAACAGAGGAATGGATTGATGTACATTTTGACACATATGGAAGTTAAAAATAACAAATGTTATTTAACTGAAGGGGTTAATTTTTAAAGAGTGACTTCTTAGATAAAGAATGGTCGAAGAGCTCTTAGATATAAATAAACTCTATACGAAAAGAGATTAATTTTATTTCAATGTTATAGAACAAAAGCATTCACGCGAAGTGTATATACAGATTTCGCGATACCCGAGACGATCGTAACTTCTCGCAGATCAAGAACGAACAGTTTGTTAGAATTTATCAGTAATTCAAGGACTATTAATAACTTGGCGACACATTTGTGTATTACACTCAGGTGTCCCGTCCCGCAGGATATCCCCGGCGCGCTAATAAAGAAGATACGAATAAGAGAAAACAGATCGTGCGTAGTTATGCGCGACAGTAGTTGGCAGGGTGGTGTTACATTTGGCACCTCGGCAGCGTTCCGAAGACACGTCGGGCCACTACCGTCGGCACAAGGTGGTCCAACTTTTTCGTGCGTGGGGAACGACGTTTACGCGCGACGATCTCCAATGACGAATCACAATGGCAAACACGGGACGACGTGCGCACGTCGCGCTACCGCACACGAGTTATTTGCACGAAAATTAGTATATCGGGTAATTATGCCCGATGTTTGTCCTTTGCATTTTGAGAGGGAAGAGCGTGGAGAGGGAATCCACGGGAGAAACGGTACTCGATCGTGTTGTGTTTCTTTCAGCATCTCGCTCATTATGTGTCACATTGAAAAGTTTAGGTAATCATAAATGGAAATCAGACCGACAAGAAGAAATTAAATAAGAGAAAGAATCCTATTTTTGGCCGAAGCAAATTTTGGTATACATGAATAATAACATTCATAGATTTATAAATACATTTTTCTGTTTTATAATCTTAAAAAGTTCATCTGTTTCTTTTCTGTTTCTTAATCGGTACAAAAAAATCGAGCTTACTGTTTGACAAAATATTTATAATGTAAATCTCATTTTTCATTGTGTCCCATTGTGATATTTTCATTCGATATCTTGACACTTACATCATTTTAAAGTGTAATTCATAGCAGCATTTCACCGACGTTTACTTAATCGTTTGTCATTGACACACTAACCGATTTGGCAAATTAGCGAGTTGTAATTGCGACTGCCTTTCAACTCGAAAGAGTCAGAAGAGTTAACACTGATCGTCTGGCATTAACTCTTGAGTCCACGGCACAGGGTGCTTATTTTTAGATTGCTTGCGTTTGAGTAAATTACAAGAATTACATCACGCAGAACGTAGACTTTCTACTAATTTACCAAAACGCAAGCAATCTAAGTAGGAAAACACTCATCGTGTGCCGTAGGCTTTAGTGATTACCTATACTTGCCAGATCGTCCTTTTCTCCCTAATTGCTACCGATGCAATCCCATGCTGTCTTACATACACGATTAGATTTGGTGTCTGAATTTCAACTCCCGCTCGGTTGAGTTAATTCGCTCGGTAGTCCAGCCGGTCGGCCATACGTTATGCTAGGCTACAGGACATTAAGCCTACGTAATCCTGACGTGTAGGAGGGTAGTGGTCAAGCCTTTACGGTCTTAACGGCTTCAATTATCAACACCTAATTATACGTCGTGAGCCTAACACAACATAGGAGAGTCCTTTGAGCTCACCCTCGAGCGGGCACCCTTTTGTAAATTTGGTCTTTGGGAACATGGATAGACTCTGCGCCTGATAATCCACAGATATATCCCATGTCCCGTCGTGACGTACGTCAGAAGCCGGATTTCCCATTTCGTACGAACGTGAGATAATTTAATCATAGAATCTCGATAACGGTGTTCAATTAAGGATAACTGACAGGAGTACGGAAATAACGTCGATACGAAAGTAGACTTTACGATAACGTAGTGTCGTAAGTTCAAAACATGGCGGTACCTACTGTTAGATTTCATCACCTCTCTGAAAAATCTTGGGGAACGATTTCGCGAACAGTACAAGTTTTCAATATCCTCGCAATCTGAAATGTATCCAACGTGTTGTACGCGAAGGGAAAAAAAAATGAATTTGCAGTCTTTGACGTTTGACGTGCGCTTTTACCTGACATCGAGCCGTCGTTTGGATGCAGATGATGATTGTTGTTCGTCAAGGAGGCGTTATTGTTATTCTCGCTTCCGGGTATACCAACACCTCCAGTGCAATGCTTCCCGCCCTCGAGAACATCGTGATCGAGTCGACAGAAGAGGCCGTCCTGCCTCAGAGCGAACTCGTCGCCAGTCTCGAGCCGCCTCGAGCAGGCGCAACAACGAAAGCACTCCACGTGATAGATCTTAGTTTTCGCTCTCATCACATAGTCATTTTTGCTAAAACACTGGCTACACTTGTCGCACTTTGTGCCAAACAACCTGCAACATATACGAAAAAAGGTGTAATTCACCGTCGTGACAAATGAATATAAAAACATTGATTCCCGAAGAAAAATTTAAACGAATAGAGCTCGTTAAACTTTCTGGATGATTTTGAGAAAACCTAATGGGAGCGAAAGAGAAATGCTCGAAGGATCAAGAAAAATTTTTTATTACAACAAATAGAGTCAGATAATGAAAAAACATTGCAATTAATATTAATTAAGTGGTAGTAATTAATTAATTTTTAGATTCTACAGAATATTGATCTGTAATGCGAGGGCTTATAAAAATAACAAATGCTTTACATAGCCATATATTCTGAGAGAGAATGCTCTTATCTTGTAACAGTATAGCCAACATAAATCAAGTAAATTCTATTAACTTATATAAGATCAAATTTTAGACAAAGTGGAATAAAATGATTTATTAATTACAATAGAATTTGGATTATATATGTATAATTATTTATTTGTAATATATTTTTATATATGTTTATGTATACGCCTGTATTCAGAACGCACTTATAACAATGTTAGCGCATATTTAGAATGCAGCTCACGTTACATATACTATAGAATTTCAGAAATAAAAGCGCATATTTATCGATAAAAGCGTGTTCTGAATACGGGCTATTATATATCATTTTTTAAAGTAACTAAATGATTTTCTACTAATGCAAATGTTCGAACTTGATAGTTGTTTCAATGGTTATAAATGGACAACTACGTATAAACTTTAACAAAAAATTTGTATTCTAAAAAATTCACAAGTAACAAAAATATATAATAAATTGTATATTTTCTTAAATTTAGTAGCAACTTTAATAGAAGTAAAATATGTTAATTATTTATTTCGCTCAGAAATATTTCATACCACTAATTCAAAATTTGTATTTATTAAACCTTGCAACATTCTTCTTAATTTCTCTCTAATTACTATATATACGAGAATTCTCTAACTTTGATGTTTTAATCAAAGAAACACGAGAAAAATTATTTTAAAAGAGAAGTATTCTTTTAAATGTCATAAGCGAAAAACACAATGTAAAAAATTTTAAACTTTACAAAATTTACTTGTTTTATTGTATATATAAAATGATAGCTTTGTAAAGATGGTTTCAAAATTGTCATTTTTAACTATTCTGTCTCATACAGCAAAATTGAAAAATTGTTCGGCTCATTCATTCTTATGCAATCTTTATTTTTTAATTCGCAGATCTATGTTGTTCTCACACACATAATAATATAATGTTTTTTATACATATACAATATCTCATCGACAAGTATATAACTTCACAGGTATAACTTCAAAACAATCAAAACTGACTAAAGAAATAGTTTCCAAACATTAACGCAGAGAATTAAAGATTTTACAAATGAAAAATCCTTCCAATTTGATGATAACTGAGAAAACAGAATTTTATATTAATCTTTAATTAATTACTTTATTTATATTGATATACCTATTTAGATGGAAATTCAAAATTGATTATCGACGAAATGTACGTAAATTCAGTTCTGATAAATTGTTGATAATTGTTGATCCATATTACTCATTGTGAAATAATAGCTGATTATCTGCTCCAACGTTTGTACCCGTGCCGTTCTAATATCGAGCAGGATGAATTATAACGTTTATTTTTTCATTATTTACGCGTTATTTTTGATAAATTTCCATTCATTATTTTCTATTTTATCACATTGCGAAGTTGTAAACATTTTCAGTTGGCGAAATAAAAAGCTCTGTTCTAAATCCGATAAATGCAAAGTGGAGAAACATAAATTGGACTAAAGTGACTTTATTGTCGCATCGTATATTTATTTCTGTACGCAGTACACTGAGGGCCTTTTTTATACATACATATACACATATATATATATATATATATATATAGGTATTTGTATATACATATAAATTCAATAAATAAACCGTGCGCGAACCGTCCAGCACAGGATATAATGAAATGTCCAATTTACATCATTGAAATTGAAAAAAAAATGTGGTAATGTGAGTGAAATTGATGGCGGTGTAACGTGGGATTAATGGTTGCCCATCGCGTAATTGACGATCGTGTACAATAGACATTTCTATTGTTACCATCGTTACTATACTTATTTTTCAAAGTCGATAAACTTTGTTATGCACACTGAGAGACGTTTTGGCGTATTTTTTATGCGTGAGATTCACATCCCCGTAGCGTAATCGAAATAAAATCATGTAACTTTAACCAAAATTAACGATTTGTAAGTTTCTGCAAAATAGGCCCATAAATCAAAAGAATCACTGGCTTTGAATCGCCTGCAGTTTAGAAATATATAAATTATATATAATTATATGCATATAATTATAATTTAATATACGTATATATTTATATACAGAAGTATTAAATTTATATATAGTATTAATATGAATACACATAAATATTAATACGATATATACAAATACAATAATTATATGTCTACAATGCATATATATATATATATCACACTACAGTGAATTTTTTATGCATTGACTTATACGTAATTATTTTTTACATAACAATCATAACACTTTCGTGATCGTTGGCATTTGTGCCGGAAATTGTGCCGACACCGGGAACACCCAGAATGACGTATGAGGAGGGAGTTATACTTTGCTAATTTGAACTTTTGAACGAAAGCGACAGCAACAACAAACGGCTGTCATCGCTGTCGCTCGAGTCCGCAGCCGGATACGCCAGTCTTCTTCGAGTTACGACGACGTTCGATGGATCAGCGCAAATAAACCCGCTGCCTCGGCAGGGAAAAATATTTGGTCCAGGTCGAATTCGTGCCGATGGGTTATTTGATGGCATTACCGTCCTGAACGACGAAGAAAAAAAAAAGAGAAGGAAAGAAATTCCCGTCCGTGCGAGAGATGCGTCTTTTTCAGACATCCCCGTCCCTATTTTTGCCATCGAAAGTGACGTAACAGTGAAGCGAATACAATAACTTCAATTAATTTAGTAACACCACATTAAATTGAATGTAAGCAATGCAAAATCAATTATGATAATTGATTCGATTATATATAGGCTCGTTATTAAAGCATGTCTGTCATTCTGTCACCATCGGAGAATAGAAAATCTATAATAGAAAGAAATTGATTATCAACCTTCAGAACAATACAACCTTACGTTTCACTTAATAAACAGTTCATATTAAATATTTTGATGACGTTATACATACAAGCTTTATTCTCTCAATGAATAATTGTAAATCGCCAACATATATAATAAGAATATATTTATAAATCAAAACGCAAAGTTTTTAAAAATACCCACACTCAAAGAAAATGTACTAACTTTTAATAAATAATTAGTGGAATAGTACTAATATAATATTTACTTACGAAGAATAAATATTTACTAAATAAAAAATAATAATAGGAGAATCAAATTAACGATTCTTGTACTAAATAAATTTAGATTTAGACTGGCACTATTCAAACAAATCTTAAAATTTAGTTATACATTTTTCTCTCAATGTAAGTCTCAACAATGTGAACATCGTTAATACAAAAAAGTGAATTTTTCTTAAATTAATTTCCGCGTCCGTCTCCGGAAATTAATTAAAAATTAATGGAAAAAAAGCTTCGTGTATACATATATAAAATTTTCACTCAAACTTTCCAGACTTCAAGTCGGCAAAAGCTGCTTAACCCTCAAGGTTACGTAATTCCGTGACCATCGAAAGCTTTGCTCGATATTTCTCGCAGTTTTAAACCGCGATAGCCGCGATCGAGGAGACTTCAAGTGGTCTCCCTACATGTATCGACTATGCCATACGTCTACTATTACGAATGGATCGACTGTTTCAACCGCGGCGTCAGTAATAACCATCACTATGTCGGGGTGGTGTCGATCAATGCCACGCATCGCTTCGTCGCATTAAGTCGCGAGCTTAAACTCCCGCGAGTTCTTTCGCTCGCGCGAGCATATAGTTGGCGCGCACCTTTTTTGCACGCGCCAACGCACGCAACGTCGTGACAGTGACGGTGTGGGGCATACGTGCGTGCGTGCGTGCGTGTGCGTTTATGCGCCGCACTCCACGTGTATACCTCGGATAAAAATACCCTGGACTTTCTCGACTCTGTCACCCTCTCCTTCACCGATCTCTGTCCCTCTCGACCATTTTTCTCTTTCTTTCTTCCTCCTTTTCCTCTTTTTTCCCCCCCTTTCCTTCCCCTCCCCCCCTCTCTGCCTCCCAATCGCGAGCGTTTGCAAATGCGTATCGGAAAGAGCGTATCGCGTGTCGCCGGAGAATGTAGCGGCCGCAGTGACAAGAGGCACGGTTTTGCATTAATTACCATATTGCACTGCGATCGTGAGGCCGGGGGCCTCTCTCAACCGCGAGTGCCTCTTGTTTCACCTCTTCGTAGAATTCGTTCGTTAAGTAGCGACACTTAACCATTGGACGATGAGACGGCTTCCGCTTGACGTACGTATCACGTCATCGCGCAATTTTGTCGCTCTCGTAATCGTGAGGAGTTAATTGCGTGGCGTCAAACGACCGGAAGATGAAGTGTCGAACACAAACTGCCCAAGAAATACACCGAGTCAGGGAGAAGGCAAAAATAACTTATATATTTTGACATCGTAAAAGTCAAAATGATGATTTTTGGTTACGAAAGTTGACTGCTTACTGGCGTCAAATTAAAATCAAAATAATGTCATCATTTTGAGTTTCTGTTGACTTTTCTGTCGACTGTTCTTCGGGTGTGAAAGTATAAACATTTTCTCGTTCCTTTAAAGACGCTCCGAAAAACTATGTCGAAAAATCGAACGTTCGTGGTTTGTGAATCCGTTGGCGAAGATTCCTCCTTATTTTTTTCTTCGTGTGGCTGTAGGGTTGACCTCTCAAAGGAAGTTTCCCTGTCCGACTTTCTAACGTGAAGTTCTTTCAAAGAAAGCGTCGACGTGACTTACCTAACGTAATCGCGCTTGCAGTAAGTTTTGCCGTCCCGCACGAAACAGGTGCATTTCTCGTCCAGAAACTGTTGACACTCGGCACACTTTAAACACGCCGCGTGCCATTCGAGATTAGGCGCTACCCTCAGAATCCACTGGTCGTGAATTCGACCACCGCAGCCAACGCAGAGCGAGCTCCTGCCTTCTGAAACACAAATAATCGGTCTACTTTGAAAGAAGAAAAAGGAGAAACTTGTTGTCCCTCTCCCTTCCCCCCCTCCAAAAAAAACTTAATTTTGTTAGCTTTCGAAGAAAAAAAAGTGATGGCAATTCAGCCTCGCTGGAATTTGTTATTTTTAATTTCCATCTATATGTCAAAATTTGAATCAATCCATTTCTGTGGTTAGTTTCAAAGTAAACAACGTCCATATTACTGTACACGCTTAGTAAATGATTAATTAAATTTGAGTCTTTAATACATTATCTTGGGTTAAATTGTTCAACTCCAGTTGTTTTGTTAAATTAATGAAATATTAAGTAGAAACAGTGACGATAGAAATGATAAAAAATAACTCACATTAGGTATAACTTTATATTATATGTTTAATAGTGCACAATCAGATTAACGATCATGTAACTTTTTCCTTAGGACGGAACTGTGAAAAATTTCTCCACATTATCTTCAATGATAAAACTTCTCACTTTTCATGTTTTTGCTCTGAAAAGTTACATACGTATGATTGCTACGCTGAATCGTAATCTTTCATCCTGAATGTAACGAGGTTCGAAATTGTCATTTTTGCACCGTTAAATTCATAACGTCAAATTATATCCAATTTGAGTTATTTTGAATCATTTCTATAAATCTCTACCGCTTCTACTCAATAGATCATTAATTTAACTGAAACAATCGAGTTAAACAATTTAACTCCAGATAATAAATTGAATTTGTTTTAAATTTAGGGACCTATTCGTAACTCTTCAACAACTGTAACAGTTACAGTCGTTAAGAGTTACAGAATTAGTTAATTGCCTCTAAATTTGAATCAAATTCAATATATTCTCTTGATAGTTTATTTATTTATTAAGAACATACAAATATCATGGACGATGTTCGCTTTTAATCCAACTATAACAATGAATGGATCTAGACACACGTGAAGGTGAAAAATAATAAAATGTTATTTAAAACTCGAGGGATTGGATTATCATTGCTCCTTCGATTCGATATTTAACAACGTTCAAAAACAGATCTCGAGTTTTCGAAATTCTTAAAGATCACTTTGATGAAAGTCATGGTCGATATGATCTTTTGATATATTCCCTCGGAGAGAATTTAATGTTGAATAATAACGTGAAATAACAGCCTCCTGTTATCTCGAGGCGATATATGTTTGCGGTGAAAGCACACAAAGGGAAATCCGCCTCGTGATAAATAGAAATGCATTTCACGAGTGACGCGCGAACTTGAATTAAAACATAACCAAATGTGCGATCGATCGATCTTATCGTCGATCACTCGTTAGATATGTATTGGTCGCGAAATAGCGATCGACTACATCTAAATATGACCGGCGAAGCGGCCGACAAACGAAAATAAAATCAATACTTCAATCTGTCCTGTCATTGCTTACGCGTTATCAGTGATTTCGCGGATAAAGCTTACGCAATGGAATCGCACCAGAGAGGTAACAAGGATATCTACGCACCCATTTGCATCGTTAATTGAACGAAAAAAGAATTTTTTTTAGAAATTAGTATCTATATTATAATTCACTTATATATATATTTTCGTAGGAAAAAAAACATGAAAAATGTACAAAGTATAATTAACGTAAATCGAAATAAAAGAATACTGAAACGAGATTGGTACGAAAAATTCGTGCGCTCTTTTTCTTTAGTATAGTTTGAGTAAAAAGGAAGGTGAGAAATTCATGTTCCAACGAAATTCAATGATCGGCGAAGCATTTTATAACTTTTTGTCGCCCGTTTTCGCATACGTCTCTGAATCGTATGATGCCGCACCTTCCATAAAATCAGTGCGTACGAATGCGTTATCGAAGAAAGATAATCGCCAATGAGTTGTACTGAGAATTTATCAAATTTAGGTAATAGATCAATGTCACAGATCAATTGAAGTATACTCTTCATATAAGGTAAATCTTATTTAAATATAGTAGTAATTTCAAAAAAGATAGATTTTATAGAATAATATATAAAGAAAATTTTAAAAAGTAAACAATTTATAATGCGCATTTTTTTTACTATAAAAAAATTTTTCTTCCATTTTGAGCTTTATGGTAAACAAGAAGCTCCAAAGTTTAAGTTTAATTTAATTTGTGTCACTTTTATTATACTTATTTCATCAATTTCTCTCTTTTGTAAGATCTGTATAATTATTTTATTATTTTCTGTTTTATTAATATAATTGTTTAAGGAAAAATTTCATAGTTTAATTTACATATTTTTGATCATAATATATCGATATTATTTAAATTTATTTATTTCATTTAGATTTTTGTTTATAATTTAATATTAATAAATATTCTACTGTTTATCATTTTATTTTGTCTTCATACATAAATTATTTTCATTAAAATGAAAATTATATAAATATATGTCTTTTTACTTTTTGATTTACCTTCTATTATTTGCAAATAAACATTTATTAATATTTCTATAAAAAAACTTAACGTTTATATAAGGGAATAGCAGTAAATGCATGCAGTACGGTCGCGAATGTGTTAATATGTAACAAATCTACGAAGAGAAATTTGTTTTATGTTGGAAATTATCCTCGAAAATATTTATAATATTACATACATTCTATAAAATTACATGTATTACCGAGACATATAATTAAACTTCAAAATATAATTAAAACGATCAATTTATCGTATTTAAATAAATATCGTCGATATAAATATGCTCTGCATAAATTTTCTATATAAATATTTAACGTCTCCCGAAAAGAGCAATTCAATATATCATCCATACCGTTGGTCTTGCAGCAGTATGGAAGCTATATTTAAAAAAAATTATCGGAGCACCAGAGGTTAGCTCGCGGTTAAATTAATCCACTTAACGAGAGTATGGTATAATTATAATTCATAGCCAGAGCAGTGGGGAGTTGCGGGTCGAAAGCGCTGTCAGTGGTACGAAAAAAATTAGAGCTTGCGACGAGGGTCGGGCTCAAAAATCAAAATCGGGTATCGTGCGACATATGGCGTTTCCTCTAAAGCTCTAGATATGTACCAGAGTAACGCAAAAGTCCGCCATGTTTATAATCTAATAACCATATTGTATTAAAGAGTGAAGATCTGTTTCCTCTGTGGCTGAACATAGTGTACCCTTTTGGAACATTAAAGTGAGATAGATACATACGTTTAACGTTTGGCGAAAGCGAGAGAGAGAGAGAGAGAGTCCTAATGCAAGAATAAAAGAACAGACCGAATAAGCTATATATTTATTCTTTGGCTTATTTATCTAAGTTTCCTTATTATTTATTAGTTACTTATCCAACGATAGACCATCGGGTCAAAAATAGCGGCAAAATTTCCAAACTGCAAGTCGAAATGTGTGTAAAAATGGTACATGTGTTATTTACTTTCCCGTGTAAACATGACACTGTACAATACGTTTCAATATGTGTATATCCACATTTGCATATGCAGCGTGTTACTTTTACTCGGAAAATGAATTGCACATCTAAAGGTACATCGAAGTGACTTTTTGTTACACCCTTGGACCTGCAGTGATAGGAAGGGTCGGCTCGGATCAAAGGGTTGCGCTGTAACTCCGGTACATCCAGAGCTCTCTACGTTTCCTTCGAGACGCATTGTCACGCGAGTGCGTGAGCTCGGCGGCCACGAGGAGAGGAGTGCGCCAAGGAAGGCGCGTCGAGGACCGTCAGGGGCGTACACGCCTGGGCGGCGCGCATCTACCGTCTCGCCGCCGGAACTCCGCCCAGAGTTCCGACGGCGAGACCGTCCGCAATCGGCGGCGTCCGTCACACCGGATTCTGCGCCCTGACGTGGCTCGGTGCGGTGGCCGGGAATTTGCGGAGTCCGTTCGCTCGATGGACGTCGGTTCCTTTTTTTTTCTTTCCTCCTCGCCGACGACGCCGCGCCGATCCCTCGAGCGAAGGGGTGTCCGTATTTCACTCGCGTGAAATTTTCACCGAATTTGAACGGTGCGTATAGGTATCATTACGGGAGTGGATGGATATTATCACGAGACACGCGTATTATTATAATATAAGGATATCGATTTTACTGAAGTATTATCTAAAAATTTTGCTCGAGAGGTAGATAGGAGAATGATTTGGTTGGACCGTCGAAACAATTGTGTTGAGATCTTAAGCATCTTGCTCATTTTTACTAACCAGCTTGAGCTGTATATGTTAACGGAATTCTAACAGAATTATTTTTAGGTCTGTGTATAAAGTTAAACTTTTAAATGGATATTTCAATGAAACTGTTTTTTTCCGTGTTTAATTATTAAATATGAGGTACATAGTTCTTCGATGCATGGTTTGCCTATATAGGGAGTGTGTATGTCTTCATCTCTATAAATAGATTCTATATCAAACGCATCTTACACGCTTAGATATCCGTGTGTTATGAATATAGCGATGATTTTAAGCGCGTAGAAAAAAAAAACAGTTTTGCTGAAATGTGTAAACATTTTATTTAGTTAGACGCAGATTTGAAGATAATTTCGTTGGACCATCAAAACAATTATGTAGGACGTTGAAATTGATTGCTAGAATGTCAAAACTTTTTGTATTGCTCATCATGCTTGTAGCGATTTCTACATAATTATTTTGATGGTTCAACAAAACTATTTTCAGATCTGTATTTATCTAAATTTTTAGGTACTTCAGCAAAATCGTTTTTTCAATGTTTTCAGTATGTGCGTTGAAAACGCGAACAATTATAAGAAATTGTACAATAATAAAAATGCTTAGTTTAAAAAACGAGAGACAAAGAGAGCAGCTAGTTGTACCCTGTGTGTGTTACACATTCAAGAATTTTTTCTCTGATTTCTAGCACCATGACAATATTTTCTTAATTCCACGAAGAAATTAAATATCGTTTAAGAGAATTCATGTGGAAAACGCTTTAAATGTTGACAACAACAAAGGGAACAACTAATATAGTCCTTTATTGAATTTATTTATGTGAACATTCTGTATAATTTATT